CGTGCCGTGAGTTCCTGGTCCTGAAGCTCTTCCCCACCTGGCTCCTGCTGCCTGCCGAGATGCTGAACATCACCCTGGTGCCCTATGGCAACGCCCAGGTAGGAGCTGGGTGACCTGGTGCTGTGGGTGCTCATCCCAGTGCCAATGGCCCCGCTCAGACCGGTTTGGTCCCACAGGAGAGGAATGTCAGTGGGAAGTGGAACTTCGAGTGCCAGCACGGCCCGGAGGAATGCTTGGGCAACATGATTGAGGTGATGGGCCCTGTTCCCATGGTGCTGGTGTAGGGGTGGTCCAGCAGCCCCTCACTGCCCATCCTGTCCCTGTAGGCCTGTCTGATGCACGAGGCCAAGAACCTCAGCAGCTACTTCCCTGTCATCTTCTGCCTGGAGTCAGGCAGCTCCGTCACCAAGAACCTGGAGGCTGTATGTCCCCTTCCCCATCCCTCCTGCCCCACTGTTGGGATGTCCCTCCCTGTCCCCATGACCTCCCTGTGTGTCCTCTCTCCCTGGCAGTGCCTGCAGATCTATGCCCCAGAGCTGGACAGGGGTCGCATCGCTGCCTGTGTGCAGGGGGACACGGGCACTGCCCTGATGCACCACAATGCTCAGCTGACAGAGGCACTCGACCCTCCACACCAGTATGTGCCCTGGATCGTCATCAATGGGGTATGATGGGGGCACTGGGGTGCCAGGCAGGGCTGGGGCACCGTGGGCACCCCCTGACTGCTCCCATCTCCCCCCACAGAAACACACGGACAAGCTGCAGGCACAGGCAGAGGCCTCACTGCTGGGACTGGTCTGCAGCCTCTACCAGGTGGGATAGGGAGCTGGGGGGACAGTGGGGCTGGGGGGACATGGCCCTGTCACCCCCAGAGCTCTACCAGCCACTCTCTGGCAGGGGGAGAAGCCTGAAGCCTGTGGGGACTCAAGGGCCCCAGAGACCCCCAAGTCTGTCTGCAGGAGCTGAGGGACATCGTGGGAGCACCAAGCAAGAAGCCAATAAAAAGGGTATTTTTTTTGAAAAAACAAAACTAACCTGAGTGGTGTGTTGGGGGGAGCAGGGACAGGATGGTCTTGCCCTGCCAAATGAGAGGGAGAGTGGGAGCTGAGCACTGGGACAATGGGACTGGTCTCCTTCTGGACCCAGGGCAGGCAGCAGGATGTGCTGAGATCTGCCAGGGAATCATCTGCTCCTGAGGGTCCCAAAGGAGCCCTGTGAAGATTCTCAAAGTTTTCTGCTAAGCATCTCCCTGAGGAGCAGAACATTTGCTCTTTCCAAGTCCCAAGCAGCAGCTCTAATGTCCTTCCCTTCTCCTTACACTGACAGCATTAAACTCAACCATTTCAGGAGCACTGAGGCCAAGACTATCTTAGCTCCTACCAGTGCTTCTCCATTCCCCACCAGCAAGTCCAGGACAGTATCTTTCCTGGGTACTTGTGACAAGAAATTCTCTCCCACAAACTTCAGGAATTTCCCAGACCTTCCCACCACAGCAGGATACCATTCCCAGCTCTGGGGTCTGAGAAACTGAAAGCTACCATAAGGACAAGGGTTCCCAATCCCAGAGAATTCTCCTCATTGCTTATATAACAACTCCTCAGCATTGGTGTCCTGGCTGCAGCACCCACTGCAACATCCCCCTCATCCTCACTCAGAGTCTCCCAACCACATCACCCCCAAGTGTACCCTCAAATCTGGTGTGGCACCATCCCTGTCTGCCCCTCTGGAACAGCCCAGACCTTCCATCCCAGCACTCCAGGGACTCACCCCACCACATCCTGCATATGCCAAGGACATCCCAGACCAAGGACTCCAGCCCAAGGCACTTGCACTGACAGCCCCTTAACTCCTTCCCTCTCCAAGAGGAACTTGGGAGGTTTCCTGGGGTAGGGACACAGGGAACCCCAACATTCCATCCTGGGAGATGCCAAAGAGCCCTTACCAACCAAGAATCACAAAGGACCATGGTGCTGCCATCACAGTAGCTCCCATCACACAACCTCTGTGCTCCCTGACTCCTTCAGCTTTTATGTCTCTCCTAGAGCTTCTACCCTCGAGGAACTGACCCAGAGCAACCAGGGGATGCTCTGGTGGACAGGAGCAGAGGATCTCTGGCCATCACTCCTGTCTCTCTCAGGCTCAGCCAAACTGTGCCACCTGTCCTGGGCACCCCAGTTCTGCAGGGACCCTCCTCCTCCCCTGGTCTGGCTACACCTTGGGCAGCTGCAAGGCCTGGAAGGGAGAAAAAAGAGAATAATAATTTTTAAAAAGTCACTACTTCAGCCAGAGTATGCCCGGAATCTTCATTTATTTTATTGCTCATTTCCCATCCAAAACCTGGACCCCAATCCAGCTCTGGATCCTGGGCAAGCACAGTCCCATTGGCATGAGCATGGCACAGCTGCCACTGCTGCTCAGCATCTTGCCTGGAACATTGTCCTTGCCCAAAATCTCCATCCCCTGGAGCAGCTGCACCACTACTGCCCACAGCTCTCAGGGCCATGAAAAGTTCTCCTGCATGAGAATAGGAGAGAAAAGAAAGAAAATAACAAGCCCCAACCCCAAATACAAAGGAACCTCAGTGCTGGAGGACAAGCTCTCCTCTCCCAAAGCTGCTGCCAAAGCCTTTGGCACCATCAGGGCTGTGGGGCAAGGTGAAGGACCTCATCCTGCAGGTTGAGGGGCTCAGAATCCCACTTTAAAGCCAGGAGATTGCTGGGAGGAGGTTTGGCATCAGGACAGGGGCTGCTGCACCAGGGTGCATGGGCACCCACCCCACTGCCCCAGCTGCCACTTCCTGGGCTCTCTAGGCTGCCACAGAGGCTGGCCCAAGCCCATCCCCAGAGGAGGGAAGAGCTTGCTGGTGAACAGTGATCCAGTGAAGGTGTTGAAATTTCTAGGCTTCAAGTCGCTGCCAGGCCAGGTGGGTGCCACAGGTTCCTTGTTCAGGAGTGGGGACAGTGACTCTGGGTCATCATCTGACCTTGGGGAGCTGCAGAGCAAGGAATCCCCAATGCCATAGGGGAAAGTCACAGCTTCTGCCTGCACCTTCCAACCTGGCTGATCCACCAGCTCCTTCACCATCTTCCTCTTGGCCACAGGTTTCTTCTTGGCTTTCTTCTCACATACCTGGACCACCCTGATGCTCTCACTGCTGGGAAAGCCATGGTGGCTGAGGGCTTGCAAGGCCCTGTGGCTGCTCTCCAGGCTCTCATACTCCACCAGGGCACAGCACCTGCTCAGCAGCTCAGGGAACTGCAACGTGTACTTGTGCATGTCCGAGGGCAACTTGCGACCTGGTCGCAGGACACGGATGGAGGCGATGGCACCAAAGGAGCTGAACATCTTGATGATGGTCTCCAAGAAATTCCCCTGGAATGGCTCCAGCAGCATGTCCTGCTCCTGGGGCTGCAGCTCCCAGGCCAGCAGCAGCTTGCTGGGGGAGAAG